TTTAGGGGCCAAAATTGACCAATTCAAAATTGAAAATTTGAAACTTTGGAGGTCAATTTGAATTGATTATAAACTTTGGGGGCCAATTTGAATTAATAATTAAAGTTTGAGGGCTTTAATTATAAAATTCAGAACTTTAATGACCCGAATTAATTAATTTTAAAATCTTAGGGACTGAATCATTAAATTTGAAACTTAAAGGCCTAAATCTTAATATAACTTAAAAGCTAGGGACTGAAACTTTAATTTTATAATCCTAACCCTAATTGCATCCAGGGGCCTCAACTTATCTAATTTACAGAGGAAGCCCCCGCCCCCAAAATCAACAAAACTGAAACCTAACAAAAAAATTTCTTCTTCTCTTTTTCTGATGGCGGCGCACTCCGGCGCCGCCCGGAGTAATGGCCTCAGATCATGCCCGGCACTGCTGTGTTTGCAACAGCGCACTGCGCGCCGGTAGCGGCGCCACTGCCTGCTGCCAAAAATTTTAATTTTTTTAAAACTGAATCTAAACCATAAATAATCCGTAATTCAACCATTAATCCGAATTATGACAATTCATAACGAAAAATATACCTAATAGTTTTCAAATTCAACAAAACTAATTCTAAAATTGTCAAATCTGAAAACTTTATAAAATATTGCAAGAACCAAATTAATTATTCGATTCTCAGTGATTCAACATGAAGAGGCTCTGATACCACTTGTAGGATAATTTAATACTTTAAATTACCGGATCTTTCATGTTAAATCATCAAGAAATACAAGAATTAAAGCGGAAGCGTACCTGAATCAGACATGGTTAATGCAATATGAATTTCACGGTATAGTCTTCCAAATCTACACGCAGTCTCATTTTCCTCTCTGTGATGAGATGCAGTAGAGAATGAATAATTCTAGGGACCATAACCTATTTATATAGAGACGCCCTTTGACCTAATTCGACCCATCATAGACTTAGGATTTGGGCGCGGTCTCTACACATATATAAACTCATACTTTAATTGGATACATTAAAGCCCAAAATCGAAGCCTTATTAGATCACTTTAATTGGATTCAACCGAATTCGATAGCCTATAATTTAACACACAATTGTTCACACATACAAGCCCATCTATTGATTAAAAATCCTTACATTATACACTAATAAAAGGACTAATTAAGTGATTTATTTTACAATAAATAAGAATTGTTTTTTCAAAAACAGATTTTTTTTTCCAAATATGTTAATTATATTTAGTTAAATAGTTGTATTTTGCATGTTATTCTGAAATTTTTTAGAGGCATGCGTGAAAATGTTGTCTTTGGATATTGGGCCAATACCATTCAACTAAATTATCATGAGCTTTTTCTTTCAACATATACCAAATTCAATTCAACTGAAAAACTTGAATTAATCTTCTTGGACAAGCCCGTGTCCAAACACGTTGGCCCCCTATTGGTCGGTTGTTTGCGCCTACAGACAACCGGCCTGCGACATCGGTGCAGACAAGAGGGGGCTGCCACGTCGGTGTAGACAACCAGCCAATAGGAATCTGTCATGTCGACCCCTGTTTGGATAAAGGCTTGTCCTTATAGCAAAACCCGAAAAACTTATACAATATAGGCAACAAAATAATGATATTTTCACCTCAACTAGAAGGATCCGAAATCAATGAGATGAAATTATTTTCCTAAAGAAAATAAAAAACTTTAATGAAAGGTTCATCATGTTGGTAGAAAGAATGCAATTTTTTGGTATGAAGTTGATATTATCTAAAATGCCCTGGCGAAAAAAATGATTAAATTTTGTACACAAATTAATTCTCACTTGGTAAACTATGAAAATATAAAATGATATGTTATATAGAGCTCATTCAACATAGTTTAAATTTTAATAATATAAATTTTCCTTCATTTTTTAGAAGTGGCATTATTTTTCTGAATATATACTTTATTCCAAACTCGAACTGAATGAAACTCTAACATAGGTTTTAATGACAAAAAAATTGCTACCCACAGGCACTACCCCATGCCTAAACGAGTAAACAAAACTAGGGATGGCAAGGGCAGGCATGGAATGGGTTGACCATTCCTACCCCCATCCCATCGGGTATTTTTGTCACATTGTCCTGTCCCCATGCCCAATTAAAGCAGGATGGGACGAGGTAGGTCCCCGTCCCATTTATTTATTTTTTGCTTTTATTTTTTTTATGCCTTTAATTAGTAAATATTATTATTATTATTTTCAATTTATTAAGAATAACTCACGCTCTCTTTTAAATATTTTATTTTTATTTGATAAAAAGTTTAAATTTGAAAATAACTTTAAGCTGTAGCCAGAAATATCTTTTCCATACCAAATACGTACTCGCTTCGAGGCAATAACCCCCGTCCCATTTACCCACGGTAATCTCCGTTCCACTCGGGTATAGCTTGCAGGTATCGAGTTGAATGAGTTTTTTTGCTATCACTAAACGAGATGAGGTGAGGTAGGGGCAATGGTCATTGCCCGGAAGTGGGTACGAGATAAGTATGAAAAACATAGTCCTCGTCCTGTTTAAAATCTATTCTAAATTTAAGATTTTTATATAAAAAAAAATAAAATAACTAACATTATTTTTAAAGATAACATGAATTGTTTTCAAGAAATTGAAAAAAAAGGTATAACAAACCTTACCCGTTCCCGCCACATCTCGCCTTAACTGCGTATGAGAGCAGGATAAGGTGAAAAATACCCGATGGGATGGGAGACAAAAATGACCAAATCGCCCTTGACCTGCCCCGTTACCATCCCTAATTTTTTTTTCTCGTTTCCTTTCAAACCATTTCTACAGTTTAGGAAAGATTCAGAACAATCCTTACTAAGCAAGTTTTAGACAGTTTAAATTTTAATAAAAGTACCATATTTTTTACTCTCTCCATCTCATTTATGTAAACTGGTTTTATTTTTCACAAAAATTAAAAAAATCTTATTTAATGTTATTGAAAAGATAAATTTTGCCAATAACTTTTGTAATTTACCCTTATTATATTTGTACAATTTCAAGATTAATTTAAAAAAATTGGTTATAATTAAGCGAATTAAATAAGAGTATATTAATAAACGAAGAAAACAAAATATTCTAAATAAAGAAACAAAACTATATAATTGGAACAAGAAATGTTGGCTTATATGTGCATAAAAGTGACATTGTTTGTCTTAATATATATCTTTAACAAGAAATTTTGAAAGTGTATAATATTTTAATAAATTAACATACTACTTTTAAGTTTTAAGCTAAATTTTACCTAAATTGTAAAAAGTACAAGTTTGTATTTAACCTTTTTTTTGGTTTATAAATTATAAATATGAAATATTATTGATAAGTTAAAATTTAGAATCATTTATTACGAAATTTTTAACACATTTATGTTTAGAATTTCCACGAGAATGCATATTCAAAATTATGTATATACAAGTCTTAAAATAATAATTTATTATAAAGGAAACAAATTAAATGGAAATTAATTATAAAAAAATAATCTTTTTCTTCACAAAGACATTTTTGGTATTCCATTACTAATGAAAATTAACTATTAAAAAATGAATCTTTTTTCTTCACAAGGACATTTTTGATATACCATCATTATTATTTGGGATAATTGCAGCAGAAGCTCCAAACTTTATAAACACTATCAGACTTTTCCCTTTCATTTGTTGCAGTTATCACTCCAAACCTTTTAAAACATTGCATCTGAGGTCCTTTTGAATGAAATCTATCCAATTTACCGTTAGTTGACCTAAAAAAATGTTTTTGACCCGAAAAATTAATTTTGACCAAAATTTACTAAATTTTAAAAGGGTAAAATAGTAATTTAATTTTTCCACCGGAACCGAGTTCTGAATTTCTGATCAATACTCGTTTACAGTCGTTTTTCAATTACAACATAACCATTGGTGGTGGTTTGAAGCTTTTGGTTTTGAAGGTTACAAGAGTGCTCTGTTTCCTAGCAAGTTTAAGGGGTTGAGACCACTTCGAGGGTTTCCACTGGTTGGATTACAACCTACACTTCTTTAGAAGAGAGATGTCTCACAGTAGGGCTCTAGCGGAGTTAATGAATTAAGGAATTTGGCGCTCCCCAAATTCAAAAGTAGTGAGGATTCTACTACTATTGTGCTTGTAGAATTTCTAAGAATTTCATTCTTAAAATCAAAGTTTGATGGTGGTGGAATTATGGAGGCTCTGTATATGGGTTTGAGATTTGGAAGGTTTGTTTTGATTGGAAAATGGTTGAATTTGAACACGTACAGACGAGGAGGGGGAGAGAGAGAGAGAGAGAGAGAGAGAGAGAGAAGGGGGAATGGGGGTGGGAAAATATTAAATTACTATTTTGCACTTTTAAAATTGAGTAAAATGCAGTCAAGATTAATTTTTCAAGTCAAAATCACTTTTTTAGGTCAACTAACGATAAATTGGACAGATTCCATCCAAAAGGGCTATAGATGCAACATCTTAAAAGATTTGGGTGATGGTTGCGATAAATGAAAGGTTAGAGAAAAGCTTGCTAGTATTTAAAAAGTTTGGGGCCTTTGTTGCAATTATCCCTTATTATTTTAGATAATATTTAACTCGAAAAATGATCAAAGCACATGTTACACTTAAAAACTAGAAATAGAAGAGCTTAATGCCTTGATGCGATTTTTTAAACATATCTTTGATATTGTCAAAAAAGTTTAGGGAGAATCTCTAATATCACCTCTGATGCTTAAGGATTCCTTCAAATTGAACAATCATGCATGGATTGTTACCCGAATTGATATATAATATGAGCTTGTTCGATTTCGATTAAAATCTTATTTTAATTTAAGTCAAAGTCAAACAATCAATAATAACCACATCTTTCATAGATCCCACAACTTTTTAACCACACATTTCAAAAACTTCTATTACAATCTACTAAAAAATCTAATTTAATCCCTACCAAATATCCTCATATATCCTATAGTGCTACATAGAATTATTCAATAAGAAACCTGATTCAATGTTTAACTAAATTGACTCTATTGTAAAAATAATTATTGAGTCCTGGTGAATAAAATAAGCAAAAAATATTACACCAAAACTCATAAAACCAAAAATAAATATTGTTGCCGGCAAAAGTTTAGCACATATAAAATAATGCCATGCTTTGCATTCTAGAAACATGCCCACGGCCAGAAAATTGGTGGCATCGGTGCTGAATCGTTTCCATGTGATGCCCGGATGAGGCTAACTCTCGATTTATGTCTGTCGGAAAGATTGCCCCTCTTCACGCATTCTGAAGAAGTCATCTTCATCACCATCTAGCAATCCACGGAATTCATTGATCGAAGGTTTGTCAAAACAGATCCACTTTCCTCTAACATAAACCTTTAAATCCTTGTGGTCCTTAACATTTGCGAAAAATTCATGCACCATTGCTACTAACCCTGACCGTGGTTGCTCTGTAAAAAACTTCCAATTCCTACCCTTAATCTGTTCCATTATATAAAGCTCAAGGTCGTCAAAACTCCGTCCTGGAATATAATTTTTGTGAACTACAATGTCATTATATCGATTCTTTGCTTCTCACCCACAAATTTACTGTTGTCAAAGGAGCTTTATGAAGAGGTCGAAGATTTTGATTTCTTAATAGATGGCATTGAGCACTCTGAAAAGCAACAATGTCAATCAAGTATATCGACCATAAGCAAACCCAATAATGTCCCAAAAACCACTACAAACTTCACAGAATATAATGAATGTTCCAAATACCAATTCCCTCAACAAATCAAGTCACTACTAACTACTTAATCCCACAATAATGTACTGCAAAATTCCTCAAATAAGTAGGGAAAATTAACAATTAAGTCACCAAAGGAAGTAAAGTTTTTCAACTAACACCTCGCACTCCTTTCACTATTCAACTCTAAAATTTCTCCAACCTTAATCCCAAACATAAATTCAACATCTCAAAGTATCAAACCCACACAATCTATCAAACCCCATAAGAAATTTCGTACTTCATCCAATCACCAAGTGTAATATTGCATAAATTAGCACCACACACCAAAAACAAATGTAAAATACTTACCCTTCCATGTGTAGAAAGCCCACTAAGTTAAAGTTCTGTTGAGGTGTGAGATCTATGCATTGGTGGTGTTGAAGATAATGGGCTTGATATGTACGAAAGAGATTAGTATATAGGATATGGAAGAAGAAGAGTAAGAGATGTAGGGTTTGAGAGAGATTTGGGGACGGAGAAGTTGGAAAACAACAGAAAAATTTTGAGAAATAAAAATAAAATAAATAAATCACTGGGGAAAGGATAGGTTTAGGCAGCGTGGCGCCGCAGCGCCGTGTTGTGGCGCAACCATTTTTATTTTTTTTACCCTCTCTTACTCCGCCTTTGTTGAATTTTATTTTCTCCATTCCCTCGATAACTAGGTTCTCATCTCCCATTCACGCCTAGTGTCACCCTCTTCTTGGGATTTTTCCTACAAAATACAATGAGAATGTTACGACTCTAGCGTAAACAATCAAAGAAACAACCTATAAATTAAATACTACGAAATAAGTAGGGAATAGAACTTAGATTGCCTCTCGAGAAGCGCTTCTTTAAAATCATTAGCTGGACTTTGTGTCGCTAATATTCTGAAACAGCTAGTTTAAGATTGTCTTTAGCGATGTGATACTCATCTACTGAATGCTTGATGTGTTGTACATTAACCTTGAAATTTCCCTTTACTAGATAGAGTAATTCAACTATACTGTAGGAAAACACTTGGAATACCATGAAAGATCCAGACAATCTTGATTTCAATTTTCTAGGGAAGAGCTTAAGTTTGAAGTTGTAGAAAAGCACTTGATTTCCCACTCTAAGAATTCGTTGTCTAATGTTTTTGACATGTTACTGTTTTGTCCTTTTCTTGTAGATTAATGCAATTTCATATGCTTCTCTTCTGAATTTTTCCAATTCATGAAATTGTATTTTTGTCTCTCTCCATGTTCAACTACTTCAATCCTTAGTACACTTTGTGCTCAAACTCAACTGGTAGGTGCACACTTTCCCAAATACTAGTCAGTATGGCAATATTCCAATTGACATCTTATAAGCACGAGATAAGCCCACGAAGCATTATCTCATTTTTTGGACCAATTTTTTCAATATGCATTCACTGTGAGTTTCAAATTTCTTTTCAACTATTTGTTAGACAGTTCAACATGTCCACTCGTCTGAAGGTGATAAGGTGTAGCAATTTTGTGTTGTATTCCTTACTTATAAAGCACCGTTTGAAATAACCGATTGAGGAAGTGAGTTCCACCATCACTAATGATGGCTATTGGTGATCCATAGCAATTGAAAATATGTTTCTTTATATAATTTACCACCACCCTTACATCATTGGTGGGCAACGCCTTGACTTCCACCCATTTGGAGACATAATCCACTCTCACTAAAATATATCGATTGTTATAGGACAACAAAAAATGTCTCATAAAATCAACTCCCCATACATTAAATATTTCAACCTATAGAGTATTGTTTAGTGGCATCTTGTGACATGCAGATATGTTACCCATTCTTTGACACTTATCACATGATTTGTTAAAATTGTGGCAGTCCTTAAATAATGTTGGCTAAAAAAAATCGCATTGAAGCGCCTTTGCTACTAGTTTAATGCGGCCAAAGTGTCCCCCATACGTTGAAGCATGAACTCTTGAAAAGATATGTTTCATCTCATCTTCTGGCACACATCTTCTGATAATTTAGTCTGCCCCATTTTTGTATAAATTTGGATCATCCCAATAATAGAATTTCATTTCATGGAGAAGCTTCTTCTTCTGCTGATAAGTGAAGTCTGAATCTACATACCCACTCACTAAAAAGTTGATAATGTCTGCATTTTACGGAGCCTTTTCTACTTGCAATAACCGTTCATCTAGAAATATCTCATTGATATCTCAAGGCCTGGAGCATCATAAAAAATATATCACCACACTAATCTAAGTTCACCAACAAATTAGCAGAAAAGAACGAGGATATGCCTTAACTAATGCACCGTTCCAGGTAGATCAAGACTTCTAAGTTGATTGTCAATCACAACTTAACATTGCTGTGCCTTGCCTTGATTTGGAAGGCTCTCTTGAACTTCACCATACAAGAATGAGGATGTGCCTTAACTAATGCGCCGTACCATGTAGAACAAGACTTCTAAGTGAAGGTCTCCATATGATAACATAAAAGATCTTTGCAACACCCCAAATTCCAAAGATAGTGACACAAATGAAGACGAATTAAGAAATAGAACACTTGATGAACAAAGCCACCAATCATGTACCAGCTACAAAGGTAAAGCATACAATTAAGAAATAGAATACTGGATGAACAAAGCCACCAATCATGTACCAGATACAAGGGTAAAGCATACAATTAACCACATCCATATCACAATGCTAAGGTTGCAAGGCATGATTTGAGAATATACCAAGTGACACCAATCAGATTAGAAACACGTGGTGGCATTGTTCATTAGGATCCTTAAAATTTACCTAGAACATTACTATTGTCGGAGTCTTTTCATTCATTTTCAAATTTCAAAGGAAGATCTTAAGTCATCAACTATAAACTTCACAAGTGAATTCTCACCTATCCTAGCACAATATTGTGGACATATCAACACATCGACATCATTTTATTCCTAGAACTAACTACTGCTTAGCATGAATGTAAATGTGGAAATTGAAAGTGAAATGCAGTCTTCACTCATGGTATGTTGTTCTCTTAAAGTAAGTACATTTCAGAGTAAAAATATCGAATTTCCAGTAAAAACTGTTCAAGAGGACAAGCTCGCACACACACACACATGCATATAAGTGGGAAAATGGGAAATATCTTCCGGAAGGAAGAGCGGAAAAAAAAAGGGGAGGCCAGAGGGGTGTAGGAAGACCTCTCAGTGGGATTCGGCGTCCTTTTGGTGCTGTGGAAACTGTAGAAGGGAGGTGTGAGACTGAGGGATGAAGAGCGAGGGGAACAGCTGCCGAGGGGTTACCAATGGGGGACTCCGACGGAGACTCCAGTGGTGGGGAATTGGGTTCTTGTTAACAGCCGGGTTGATGAAAAGGTCTGCAGTGCGAATTAGGGTTTTAAACAAGTGCAAAAATGAGCTGCTAATAAGAACTTTCATTGCACTTAATATTAAGCTGTAGTATAATTGGTATAAACTGACATTAATATAGTTGCAAATAGTAAAAACGTTTACTGAATCCCGAGCACAGGCCAAGACAAACGTGATGCATCACCCACGAAGTCTAGGACAAAAACAAAGGGCAATTTCACAAACAAATCAGTAATTTTATACAATCATTGCTATCAGGCGCAGCACCAGATCTAAACGTACAGACCTGGCTACGTCCAGTTACAAGGTGGAATACAACCATGAACTAACGAACACCAACAAGCACCTCGCCCACATACAATAAGTTGAAGCAAGGCAATATGGTAAAACAACATGACGGCGCATTTTTGTCAGCGGCAAAGAAACTAGGTGAAGGATTGGCATTTTACAACTTTGCCAATCATATAAATTAACAAGTGAAGCATTTGCTCCAGAGTACTACAAAACTAAGAAGGAGAAAAAATAAAAATTAAAAAAAATTAAAAATCCAAATAAAGGCAGAAAAGACTGAATTCCCTCTTCAAATGTGCAAAAAGTACCGACTATGTCGACTGGAAAGGTGTTTTTTTATTGCTCGACTTGCAGCGCAGATGAAATCCATTCCGAAGCAGCTATTTTAGTCTCAGTCTCTACTGGCATGGATAAAGAGATTGGGGTAACTGCAACCTGTTCCAAAGGGCCAGTACACTCATCTAAATCCAAAACAAGAATACACGCAAATATAAAACAGCATCATTTCATTTCATGCATATACATGCATATACGTACATGTACATATTTGTGCACTACAAGGAAGCGCCATCAAAATAAAAGAGAGAGAGACAGAATAAGAACAAAACTTACAAAGTCATTTTCAAGGGCTTTAAAATCAAGATCTTCATCTTCTTCTTCCTGCTCTTTGTCAAGCATCTGCAATCATTAGATATCAACCAAATCATTCCTAGAAACAAAACAATGAATCATTTCACCACCCAGAAAAGAATAAAAATTAAGAAGGAATTAGTCAATATCAAATAGATAGCAAGCAGCATTGGCCACAATCACAAGAAAGAGATCAAAGAAATTTTGTGATGCATAATTTCCCTAGTGTATGTCTCATGTGATAATCTGTGGAAGATGTCCAGTAAAAAAGTGTCAACATACAAGGAACGAATACATACTTAAATCAAAGATATGATAGTTCTTCCTAAAAAACCTTGATATTCTTAATGGCAGCATGTCCATTTAAATGAGGATTTCTTGAACATTGAATTTTTAATCGAAAAAAGAAAAAAAATTAGAATTTCTCTAGTGTTCTGATAATTCTTGGCCTCCCCAAAAAATAACCGACACCAGAAACCACAGCTCAAAAGCACCCTATAAAAATGAAACTAAAAAACTAACTAGAAATCAAGAAGCTCCACATTGCTCCCAACCACAACTTAATGAATGTTACCTCTAGTCGGAAATACTTCACAGTTCGCTTAAAATCGGACTTCCCTGCAGCACCAACTGATTCAACTATCTCAATATTCTTTTTTTGTGTGGCCAAACGGCGAGCAGCACCCTGAAAATTTTTCAATGATAAAGGTCTGAATGCTACAAGATATTGCATGCAACAACACCTTTCATGTGAAATGATTAATAAATGAAATGTGAAAAATAAAAAAAATAGAAGATATACAGCAGCAGAAGCATCACGTCCAAGCTGGGCAAGCTGCATAGCATTGTTTTGCTGACTGGCAAACCGTGAAGCAGCCTGATGCCTGGTGCCTGAAATGGCTTGCCAGATAAGAGTAGACCTCCAAAGACTTTGCCTGGTAACCTTGAATCCCTATGAAACAAAAAAAATGTACATAGAAAATACTGCATCAGTATCTGAAACAAAATGTCAAACATACCTGTCATGGATCCAAAACTGAAAACACACATCCAGTATCAACGGACAAAGGATAAGAGAAAATGTCATTGATCCCATGCTAAAATACAAATTGAATAAATGGAAAAATGAAACATCACTCCTGCAGATGATTCAGCATTACACCAAAGCAAAAAATCAAGTAAAGCATTCCATATAGTGTAGATACTAAGAAAATTTTTCCACAAACCCAAGATGCAATCTTGTTTTAACACCTTCACTTGTCCGAAAGCAGAGCCAGGTAAATCTTATTTTCCTCGACACAAACAAAAGGGTGAAAAAAATGTGAATCAGTTGCAAAGTCTGCATATGGAGCTTCAAGAATCAAATCTCATAGTTCTGAAAACAGGTACCCAAACTTCATAATGAATGCGGCATGAAAATATATTTATAATTTTATCATTTAACTCTTCACACACCTCTAATGGCTAGTCCAGTCAATATTGATATTGGTAATGGAACTGTGGACTGACCTCTTTAGAGTTTTAAGTTAGCGATCGTTACCAGGAAATAGTTGTTTTAAAAGGTTGTCTAAAGGCTATGCCTTGAGGCCTGCCTTACGTGAGGCTACTCAATTTTTTTACAATGGGTTTGTATTCTTACGCCTCAATTTAATAAGGTTTACATCTTGACTTACTGAGTCTTATGCCACAAGGCTAGTCCTGGTGGCAGCTGAGATGTGCTTTCATTTGTCCAGCCTTTCTAGACTTTATAAAGCTGACCTCAAGAGTTTATGCCCTTATTTTACATCTTAGAAAGTATTACAAGTGTATTGCTTTCATTTCTGCCTTTACACCTATGTTTCACGGAAACAGACACACGACACGAACACGACATGATAGAGACATCCGACACTTGATTTGAATAAAATGGACACGTTAATTTTAATTCTTTATAATTTTAGATTTATATACTAAACTTTATTTTTAATTTTCATTTCTTAATAAATTAAATACTTATTTAGATTTTATTTTCGCTTTTGAAATCTTTTAATTGGATGAGAAGCTATTTATTGTGTTAACAAACTTTGAGTTAAACAATAGATTACTAATTCCAAGGAAGGAAAAACGCATATAAAACATGTCTTTGGGTGTCCAAGTACTGTTGGAGACCAACATGACACAAAACATGTTGTATGCAGACACGACCATAGTAGGAGTGTCCATCCATCGTCATAGCTTTCTATGTAAAGTGAAGTCACCATTGCACATGTAGGACATGAGAAAACATTACAAGAAACTGAAAATGATTAGGAATAGGAGAATTAAATATGTTTCAATGATTCTATTGGTGATGATAAGGGAGAGTCCTTGGCTATTTCTAATTGGTACTAGATTAAAATTTTGCTACTTGATTACTGATTGGAGAACTTATTCTTTGCTACTTTATTGATCTACTTTATGTTTGTTGCAAACTAGACTTTTCATTTTATTAATTTGTATTAAGGTGGTTTATTATGAGGATGTTTTTGTACTTTTTTATTCTTTTGAATTATTTCATTGGTTTATCTAAAGGCTTATGCTCTCGGTACCTGATTGGTCATTTTCAAACATTAGCATTGTATCAGACAGAAAGATTCCGAAAATATTTGGTAATTCATAGTAATATGTCATCCTCACAGGTAGGGTTAAATGTAAATTAATTAAAAAGAAGTGCATTTCCTTTTGCACCATGCATCACCAGGGTAAAACTAATGCGTGGACTATGACCAGGACCAGGTAAATGTAGTCACAAGTGGGATAAAGTAGGTGCAATCCTGTTGACTTACATTTACAGTAAAAATATTATTGAAATGTGTAGCAAATTGAGATGTTTGGCCTACCAAGCAGAATGCATCCTCGAATTCCTCTTCTAAAAGATTATTTGAAATCTTTAAGCGCACAGGCTTCTCCTTACACAGTCGTATCCCAATTTTCAAATTTCCATGGGCAAATTAACTTAAAGAATATAATGCGATCCATTTTCATTATGAAGAACCAATTTTCAAATTTCCATGGGCAAATTAACTTAAAGAATATAATGCGATCCATTTTCATTATGAAGAACCAATTTTCAAATTTCCATGGGCAAATTAACTTAAAGAATATAATGCGATCCATTTTCATTATGAAGAACCAATTTTCAAATTTCCATGGGCAAATTAACTTAAAGAATATAATGCGATCCATTTTCATTATGAAGAACCAATTTTCAAATTTCCATGGGCAAATTAACTTAAAGAATATAATGCGATCCATTTTCATTATGAAGAAATAATTCTCTAAACTGTAACCCATTCCTATGAAGGGAGTTTTACTTCAATTTAGTCCCCGCGGTTTTACTTTGATTGTCCAATAATCCATTAAAAACAGATGTACGCCCAACAGCTACCATGCCTTTATCTCTATCCAAATTGCACCCACCAAAATGTTATCTCCATTATAGACACCTAACCTAAGACCCCAAATCACAGAAGGATGTTGCTGCAACCACCAAAATATACGCAAGCTAACCTCCTCAAACATGCTATTTGAGCCTGGAATAGACGTCTCATTCTAGTAATTATTATCTTTGCGGCTAGCCTATTAACAATGATGCAAATCACATCATTCTAAATGATGATTATGTGTGTAAAGGTGTTCTCACATACACACACACACCAAATGGTCAACTCTAAGATGCCTAGTATAGATTTGTAGTCATGCTCAGTGGCGAATCCAGGATTTTGAGTCAGCACGGGCGGCCGTTGACCGTCGACTGCAATAAAATATTAAGAACTCGTTTGATGTACTTTTTTTGTTGCAAAAAATGCATTTTGGAATACTTATTTGATGAAAAATAAGTGGTTAAAAATAAGAAAAAAAATTTGAATTTACATGTAATATTATTTTATTAAAAAATGTATGGTTGAAAATAAGAGACAAAAATGTATTCTAAAATAAATGGGAATTAAATAAGGCATAAAATTTAAATATGACAATTATTTTGTTGAAATTGAACATATATAATTTTGTTATAAGAATAAACCATACTCACCAAATGACATTGTTACCAAATTTTATATAATTCAAAGGAAGAGCACGGGTTCAAATACAATTGCATTAAACCCGCTATAATTAACATATATAAATTTGTTAAATTTAATGTCACAAATCAATGAGTGTCATAGTGGTCAATCTCTTAACAATTATAAGAAGATGTCCAGGTTCGAATCCCCATTCCATCAATTTTTGGTAAAAATTGTAGAAGCAAAAAAATCATACAAAAATTCGTTGTAAAGGGAATCGAACCCGGGACTTACAAGAAGAAAATGCCGTCCCTACCCAAGTTGGCTGAAAGGAGTGTTTGAATTAGCAGTGAATATCAGTAATATAACCTAAAAAATGTATATGTTCTCAACAAAAAAAAGAGTTGCCGGCGGATCCAGCACGCGCGGCCGCGGGTGCTCGCCAGGTGCTGGATCCGCCAGTGGTCATGCTGACTGTAACATACTAGGCACATACAAATGCTAATTAATACATTATAATGCTAAAAGTTAAAAAAGTTGAAGACGTGTATTCTACCCAGCAAAAGCCACATATAGGAAGCAAAAATGAATGAAACCGATATAGCAATCATAACTAACTTTGGAGGGATTGTTGGTGGAGACTATTAATGCTTAGTTGAGAAGCCAATCACACTACATCCACAAATAATATATTATTTGACATACGCTTTTCAATATCTCTTACGATGAAGAGTGAAGAGACTTAGCATATGTTTGGTTAATGTAAATAAACTGTTTATAAATGGTCAGACCACTTTTTATCTACTTATTTCATGAGTCTCAAAAGGGCTACAACTAATTCACCTCTCATTTCTACCAATTAAACTTAAATAGACATTTCTCAAACAAACTTTTACTTACATCATTTGAGACCTTATAATAGCCCTTGCATGAACAAGTAGGTATGAAAATTGTTTTCAATGAATAGTTAATAATATTTTTATAGAAATATGCAGGAGCATAATGTCGATAAGACTTCATACCAAGGGATGGCCAGTGCTTGAGAATAATGCTTTTGCAAATTGCAGAAAGGAGCTATATCATGTACAACTAATGATACTAATGTCATGGATATTAATCTCTATCCTCAACTTTCAAACTAACATCCAATTGTTGTCATACCATACAAGTTAAAATAATGGTTAGGTTCTCCTTTTACATAATTGACTAGCAGTTTTCTTTTGTGATCCTTATAGTTACAAGGATTTCAATTTGATATTGCACTTCCTTAGGTTTAATCCCCATGTTGTTCACCCAAGACAGCCATAAGTCAGCAAATCATTTTCTTAAATGTCTCATCCCTAACTTGAATGAGCAATAATGGCTATCAAATTATCAGAACAACACACAGGAGAGTGGTGGGATATAGTGGTGGAATAATGAAATTTTTTGATACAAGTGTATAGATATAGATGAAAACGAATTTTCAATAGGTAAGAGTAAAGCATGCAAAATGACTAAAAGAAGCAAGGGGGGTGTTTGAGAGTGATTTTTCACTCCAATTTTTTGATTTTTTGACCGTTATTTTACTATTCCAACCGTAAAGTTTGACTTCTTCTCTCACAAGTAGCCCCCACTTTTTTCTTAACGGTCAAAAAATCAATTCTTAAAATCGCTCCCAAACGGAGACCAAGTATTTTTACTTCAACCATAGCCAGGAATCTAATGTGTGTGAGAACAAATTCTACAGATAAATCAAATGGGAACTTGGAAATAATGCCCCTGTTTGTTGGAGATTAAAATCAAACTTTTTAGCCGATTTTGATATAAGTTGATGAAACGTGTGGTTGTCCCAAGACTAAGTGCTTAGAATTAATTGTTGTCTGACTTTGATAAAAATTTAAATTTTAATTTCTATCAAACAGGGGCAAAAGAAGTAACAAACTAAATTCAGCAAGCTCTCTACTAGTCTCTTAATGTTTTATCTAGGTGCGTCTATGGGTCCATTCTCATAACAATCAAAACATGCAACACAAATATGAGAATGAAGATAATGATACTCTACCAGTCATTAACTAGTTGTATCAGCAGCATAATAACTACTTATCAACTTGGCAAAAAAATAGAACTTACAGATAGAATACTGGCATAAATCAATTCCAAGCTCGGAAATTATGCAGGCATTATCAAATAGTAAATGATCAAAACTCAACCATTCCATGCATTACTAATTCCAGATGTTGCTTTTTAGTTTTTCTTAACAAGGAACTTAAAACTTCATCAACATATGAGATGATGAGTCCAAGTAAGATATTAGAAACAAACCTTGTTTGTCAAGGGAGAGGTTGGAATTTCTACATTTAGTGAACAACTTTTGGGGAAAACATCCTTCTCCACGTCTCTTATCATCGCTTGTATCAACGGTAAGCAAACAGTCACAGCATCCTTGAAGTCACTTTCCTTACTTCCATCTTTCTTCCTATCACTGAGTATTTAGACATCATATTAAATACAGCCAAAATTACATTATAAAGATTCAAGGTACTCTTCTAAAGGATCACCAACATACCAGTTTAATGATATTGATATAGATGGCACACCATTAACCAATGCTTCCCTAGCCCCAGCAACAACGCCCGAATAAAACCTAATAGTGTCACGTCATCAATATGAGTGCTGTTAAAACCAGAAAGATTGGACATAACTTACGAAGTAGAGTAAACAGAAAGGGCAACAACTTACATGTGGTGACCACAGCTAAAACCCTTGTTGATACCACTTATAACCTAAAGATCAGCCAAAAACAAAGAAATGGAGATGCATGTTTGAGTAGCTAAGCACCGTTTAAAGATGGAGAAAACTCTATTTGATGTAAGAACGAAAAACATACCAACAGGGGCTTAGACCATGTAAATAGTGAACCACATAAAGCTAATGATACACAATCCACAGGAGTTCCTGAAAGTTGCATAAAACAAAATATTGCTTCAAAGTTCATTCCAGGAACTCCAATACCAACTCACGAAATTAACATTTCATCGTATTAAGAACATTAATTCAACCTGTAGAAATTGCAAAAGTGAAAAGAAAACAACAGTACCAGAAACTTCGTAAGCAGTGGCACCATTAATATCAACAGAAACCACCTCAATCGTCTCCTTTAGTGATAAAGAATGCCCGGATGTCGATTTATCCCTGTTAACACATCCGCAAAACCGTTAATCGCGTAGTAAAAGTCAAAAAAGTGAAAAACAAAGGTGTCAAATACCGGATTTACAAAATTAAATTCATCGAAGGCCCTATTAGTATATCCTTAATCCTCTAGATTCAGAATCCCAAACTCAAAGTCAGAAATGACAAAACCGAATTGCCAAATTGAACAAGATTAAATAATATCACGACAACAAACATCAATGTATACTATTGCACAAGAGACTAATTAAGGATTAAAATATAAAAGGGCTTGAAGACCAACGATTGAGGGGCGCAAACGTGGACATTGTAGAGCCCTTCGCGAACGAGAGCCTCGACCAAATACGAGAGGCCCGGGGACTCAATACCATCACTATTCGTGACCAAAATTATGGGTTTTGACCCATCATCAACACTGGGCTCGGAGGAATCCCCTTTATTACTGGAATCGTCCTCTTTTTCATTGGGATTAGACGACTCACCATCTTCTCCGCCATCGGTTTTTCGGCTTAACAGAACTTGTTCAAGATTGGACACCAGCCCGGGTGGCAAGAAGTTGTTCTTCACAACTGGTGTTGTCATTTCTTGAGAGGGAGAAACGAATTAAAGTGAACAATCAAAAGGGAAAAGTGAGTATCAGATTGAAATGATGATGAGGAAAGTGAGGAGCATATAGGCTAGTAGGTTTGCGATTCAAGGATGAAATTGAAATTCAAAGTTGTAGAGAGAGAAAGTGTAAGAGAGAGACTAAAAAATGGATAGATAGAACGGTTCCAACGGCGTTATATGACTTTTCTAGAGAGAGAAAAGGGAAAGGGAGGCAACACCTTGACACGGCGTCGCCTAAAATATACGCACTATATTAGCGCGTAATTAAACTGTAACTGAGTGGGGGTGTACCCCGGCTAAATGGTAGTGGATACGAGTGAAAATATAAAGACCCCGTTTGATATTCATTTTTATAAGAATGAAAATAAAAAATATAGTCGTTAAGGGATTCACACAAAAGATAGAATGTCAAATATGGTGATTTAATGTTATAAATAACGATCATATTTTTTATTTTTACGGCCAAAGCATGGAAATTAAGTAGGGGCAAAATTGGGGGAGAATTATAACTACAGTTTCAAATCATTCAATGGGGCCGTTTGAGTCCCATTATTTGTAGATTATAATGAGATGAATAGTATTTTTTTGAAAAATGGGTGATTGAAAAGTTTTTTATTTACGTTTAATATTATTTTATTGAAAATTTGTGTGATTAAAAGTAGGAGAGAGAAAAATTTAATTTAATATAATGAGAAATAATGGGGCTCAAACGAATAAATGTTCCTTTGGCTCATGTTTTAATTAGATTTTAATTTAAATAAAAATCAAACAATTAATTTTTATTATACCACAATTTTTCAACAACACATTTCAAAAACTTCTATCAAAATCTCCTAAAAATCAAATTTTAATTCTCATCAAACACCCTCTATCTTGCAGACATAATATTTTATTTGTGTTATTTATAGCCCTCGTTTGAGCCCCATTATTTATCATTACATTAAATTAAAATTTTTCTTTCTCCTATTTTTAACCACACAATTTTAATAAAATAATATTACACGTAAATCAAAAATTTTTTAACCACTTATTTTTTTAAAAAAATAATATTTATCTCAGTATAATCTACAAATAATGGAGGCTCAAATGGCCCCATAGTTTTTAATTTTTCACTTCATTGCAGCAGAGGGACAGAATGATGAATTTCACCCATTTGATCATAAATTGACTTGAAAATTTAGTTTGACCAAATAATAAGGAGAAAATAGTAACTTTACAAATTTAACATAGAATAATTATAAAAATTAAATTAAAAAAGAAATAAAGTTGATTCCCCGCCCCTGACTAAAACGAACCAAATCAACTGACATCACCTTATCTCGTCCACCACAAACCATGACCATGTGCCTTCTATTTCAATTTCTCCCCTCCGCTATTTTTCACCTCCACTTTCATCTTCCTCCTCGCCTCTTGCTCTAGGCCCTTTACTCTGAAAAGTAATCCATTTTCTAATTAAATATTTTTTTTTTTCAAAAGTAAGTAAAAATATTCGACACCATTTTACAATTGCTGGCACGGGATCCATTGTTATTGCCCTATTACTTTCTTTCAATTTTTATTTTTATTTATTATTATTATTATTATTATTATTATTACTTTTTGGTCTTATGTAATGTCAATTGAGCTTTGTAAACAAGTTTGGGTTGATTATTATAGAGATTGTTATATACATTTGATTTTTCTTTGTTTACATATAGTCATTTGAGCGTTGGCCCAATTTTTGATTGGTTATTATAGGGGTTTTTTTTATTGTAGGATAATTTGTGGGAAGTTTTTAGATGGATTCACAATCGTTACTGTTTTCGTCATTAACTTATTGTTCATTGAAAACCTAGAGGATAGTGATGAGGATAAACTTGGCCACCACTATAGTCACTCTCTCATTGTCGTTGTCGTCACCAAAATCCATGGCCCCTACCTTATTCTCTTCGACAGCATCTCCAACATTTGTGCTATTCCTGATGGAGCAGGCGATGCCCTCATACTTGTTTGTATAATATTGTGTATTATTGATTTAGAATATACTTTGAATTGTCAGTCTCAAATCTCTCCCAACCTCAATCTAATTACTGTTGTCATTTCCCTCAAACCTAGTGGAGTAGGCATGCGAGTGGTGGTAGTGGTAGGATGAGTTGCATGGTTGTGGTTGTCATAAGTGGTGGTGTGGTGGGGTTGATTTGGTTTGTTTTATGTATGAGGGGCGGGTGGGATGAACACGAGTTCCCTTTTGTTCCTTTTTCTTTTTTAATTTTTAAATCATATTATGTTAAAATTATAAAATTACTATTTTGTCCTTATTATGTCTATGTTTGTCATCCTTTACTTTACATTTTATTATTTTTTCTATAGTACTCATTTTTAACTATACATTCTTCATTAAAATAAAATTAAACACAAATAAAAAACTTTTCCTCATTTTAACCACACATTTTTCATTAGTGATTATTTCATAATACATTTTTTTCAAATTAATGGGGTTCAAACAGGGCCTATATTTGGTCAAATTCATTTTTTCGGTCAACTAATAATCAAATGGATGACATGGATCCGTCTTTCTTTCTGTTGCAATAAAATGAAATGTTTGGAAATGTGGGTGGTACAAATAAAATATTTGGCGAAGAATGTAATAAAGTGAAATCTTTGAAACCTTGACTGGCAATTCTCTCTAAAATTAAAAAGAATAATAATTTTGAAAAATAAAAATTAAAAAGGGATGGATGTGTGTGATGATGAGACACAACAAGATATGAACTTTTCAAACTCCCAAGTCCCCGACTGACCAAACCAAAACGCCCTGGACCATGGGCCCGTGGGCTCCACCCTACTCTCAATTCAATTAATTATGCGAGGACACTTGTCAGTAATTCAACGTTCATGGTACGTGCTAAAATGAAGCGTGAACAGAAGATAATAAGAATGCAAATTGCAATCTGGACCATGCACGTCACTGGACAAATATTTCATTATTACCATCCAATCGATATAATTAAATGAGGAAATTACAAAAAAAATATTCATTTTGACATAGTCATTTGCAAAAATATCCAAAAATTTTCATTATTCACTTTTGCAATTATTTGAATGAGAGTACCCCTAAGTAGCTTCAATGTGAAGCTACATTAAAATGATATTCTCGACATTTCAAATATCGTTCTCGATATTTAAATCCTTTTATATTGTAAAAGTACACAAGTCAAATCACAATATTAAATGTTCTCGACATTTCAAACATTGTTATCGACATATTAAATGTCTAGAATGACATTTCATTCTAAACATGATATTTCTCTACACTTTAAATGTTGTTCTCGACATTTATGTGTCTAGCATTAATTGTGATTTGAGATGTGTAACGTGAAATTATTTATTCTTTCATTAAAAGTAAAATAGAGAATTTGGTATCAAATTTGACCATTTTTTCAAATATTATCAAAAGTTGACATTTTTGAATTGATATATGTAAAATTGGACATTTTTGCAAATGCCCTTTGCTGTCATCCTAATTTATTCATTTACTTGCCATATATTTTTCAATATTCATTTTTCTTATCATTTTTGTAGCATATTGCCTCACAGTCCAGTAGACTAAACTATCAAAGTTTGTACTGATAGTCTCAAAAATACTTATCTTTATAAAAATAAAAGTTATTCATCTACAGAAAATAATCATCTATTTATTATACCTTGTTTGAGCCTATTCTTTGGGGAAAAAAAATATATTTTTTAACAATATTTTCATATTAGTTCAACAATACATTTTTCAATAAAATAATATTACACACAAATATCAAATTTTACCTTATTTTTCAATCACACATTTCCATCAATACGTTATTCAAAATTTCATTACTTTGTCAAAATGGGGCTCAAACAAGGGCTATATTATTCATTATTTAAACACATTAAAATATTACTTAAAAAAAAAAAAAAAAAAGGTTGAACCCCAAACTTAAAGGTCCCCACCGCCCCGTTCTTGGAGCATCGTGAGAGATGTTAATCGCGAAATGCGCCTCAACAGGCTAGAAAACAAGAGCTGTCTGTACACTGGTGCCCACAAAGAGTCTCAATCCATGTTTTAGAAATTGAACCTTCACATTACAGCTGCCAACAAAGTTAAGTATATCTCACCCTTATCCTTTACACTACTGGGATATGCCTCGAGGGGCCACATTAAGTTATTATTATTACTACTATGCAGAGTCGGTCCTGTGATTGTGGGGCCAGAGGCGAAGTCCAAAAATTAGGCTCCCAAAATCAACGTATATGCAAAATTCAACGATATATTATGCAACATATTGTTAACTTAAAATTTAAGATTAAAACAACAAACAAATATCTCAATCATTTCACAATTAATGAAAAAACTATTTTCTTTTTTCTTTTCTTTCTTTTAATATTAAAAAAAAAATCCTTTGGACCAAAATAGGCCCTTTGTGGTTTTGGGCCTGAGGCACATGCCTCATTTACCTGTGCCCAGGACTGACCCTACTACTACGCGATGCTCCCTTTTGGGTGGCACGAGTCCCCAGAATAATTTTAGATGTATCCTGAGACATTCATTCTTATGACTAAAACCAGAATGGGTGATAAAAGTCCGAGAAAGAGGTAGAATTCTAACATGTTTACGGGCACCACGTTTTTGTCTGGCTTGTTTTCTAGTGAAAAATTATGGTGAATTATTTTCACCATAATTAATTAACGAATTAATTAACGAGTAGGAACAATTTGGAATATGTTTAGTGTTCCTTCGTCCCATAAAAATATATTTATTTCTATTTTAATAGATAAAAAATATAAATTTCTTATATTTTTTAATACACTCTTATATTAAATAATCATTTCAATACGATTAATTTATATTTGTTATAACAAAAAACATTAAATGGAAGCATATTAGAAAATTAAAAAAAAATCAATTATACTCTCTACTAGATAAGTGACTTAATAATTTGAGATGAACATGATGGGAAAGCAAGTATATTTTTATGGAATTGAGGGGATGTGACTTAGGCCCCGTTTAGTAGGGATTTTTTGTCCCAAAAAATTGATTTTTCGACCGTTATTTTACTATTCAAGCAGTAATTTTTGACTTCTTCTCTCACATGTGGATCCCACTTTTCTTCTAA